ATCGTATGTGACGTTGCTCTCAGGTGCGTTTACCAAGCCATTTCGGTTGGCAGGCAGCAATCCATTCGGGCTTTCCATGTCTTCCGGCTCTGAGCTTTCCTCCACGGTCTCGCCTGTTTCTTGGGGGTGCTTATAGGTCCCATGGCTTCCATCGGTATTCCCGTAGACCTTTCTCAGCACAGACGATAACCGCCGACTAAAGTCATCGTTCCACGCATCGATTTTGCTTATATGACCTTGCAAAAGGAAGTAGTAACGTATAATCATGCTAAGCATTCGCTTCTTGGTCTTCGTTCCATCTGTGAAGTATTTGAACGGAACGATGAGAGGCTTCGTCATGGCTTCATCTCCGGTGATTGATGGCAGCGTCGAGGTCGCGCGGTCATCGCCAATGGATCTGAGGCAGTAGCGAACCTCCCAACCACCGCCGGATGGCAGCAGATAAGTCAGCACGTTGCGGTTGCCTACGTTTCCGATCAACAGACTTGGGGATTCCGCCTCATCCAGTGCATTTTCAATCCAGGTCAGGGAATCCGCTGATGGCAGTGCATCCATGCAGGAGTCGGCGCCGGCCTTGGCCATTAGCTTTCGAATTGTCTGGAGGGACATTTTCCGGTTTTTGTGGAAGGTGATAAGTCGCCGAGGATAGCCGTCTGTGTCGCGTTCCAGCGCATCCGATGTCTGGTCAATTGTTTGTCAAGGATCACGGGCCTTGTTGCCAGCAAGTCGCGCGATGATGCTGGCGCGTCTGAGCTACAACGCGTCGCCGGAGGCTCGACCCCCTGCACTCAAGATATATGACAAAGCATGCGGAGAAGTCTGGTGCATACTACTCTGGACTACAGCAAGATATATCGCAATGGACGGGGTATTGATGATAAGGCTAAGAAGATGCAGGTCGCAGAAGCGTTGCTTGTTCCGGGAAGGATCAGGCGGTCCACTGCCGCTAGCGTGAACACGTGCACGTGCACTGGAGTACTCGCGTGCGACACCTTCTATGGCATTCTTGAATGACGTCCTATCTAGTGGTTGTGTATTTACGCGTTTATTGCGACAGCATATGAGGCTTAGGTAGTTGAATTATTATTTCTATTAGCTTTTGGCTATTGAGATAATTATATATACAATTTAAATCTGAAATCTCCCATCGAACAGCACACATAGCTGAGAGTGAGCCGTCTATGGCGATACTACCACTGATTCAAAAAGCTCTCTATCGGCTCGCAGTTCGATACCCCTAAAGTGCGGTCTTATGGAGATACTTCCACTAGGTTTACCTTTTTGCTCTTTTTTGCTCCCCAGAATGCGCTTTCACCTTCACTTTTTGGACCAAATGCGGCAATGATGTCACACTGCAAACGCAACTCACCGTGACTTCGAATTGAGATTTACTAGCTCTATTGTTTTTGACCTTTGATCTCAGCTTCTGCCATCCTTTTACCAACTACATACCCTCCGCGATGGCCGCAAACGCGAAAACACAGCCCCCGGGCGCCTACATCTACGACGAAATTGTCAAGATCGCGGAGCAAAGCTTCCCTGACGCCTACAACGCGCTCCTCGATGTCGACGACATGCCCTGGGAGCGGCCTGACTACGACCGTGTCGGCTTCTCCTCGCACTCCCTCTTCCTCGGTCACATTGTCGTCGACGACATCACCCACAAAGTCTCGGCATACATGACAAGCGAGGGCAACATTCAGCTCTTCCGCCGCAGCATCAGTCTCTCGCGACGCGATAACGAGCGCCTCGCCCTGACAAGCATTTGGGCGCATCTGCAAGAGAATGTCGAGCGCCCGGGTCTGCATAATTTGAAGGCACTGTGCGGATTCTACTTCGTCGCCGCCGGGTATGCAGACGTGGTGAATGCGAAGAAGGGTTGGTTCCAAGATCTGGAGATGGCTTCGAGGAAAGTTGGTCTGGGCCTTGGGGTCCTGGATGATGAGCCTGTGGTTTCGGGACTGGGTGAGGAGATGGAGAGGAACGTCGGAAAGGCCTTGAGTTCGCACGATGGCGACGTCGAAGACAACGTGGGTTCTGGAGACGAGACGGACGTCACGGTGGGCGCGGTGATGAGGGGCCTGGGTGCTGGGGTCGATGAAGTCAAGGTTGCACACATCCTGCAACGGCTCCTGATCGTAGTCAAGACCAGGCAGGAGAGCTGGGGTGAACGGATTGAGGCGGAACTGAAGCGGGCTTGGCCAAACTACAAGAAGCACTGGAGATAGGAACACAGCCGGGCTGAGATTTGAGAGATAAGAATACCGCTAGAACGCTAAAAACGACGAGACTACGGAGCTACTGCTGTTGCTCCTTGCACCTTTGCTGCTTGGTCCATTTACTGAACTTGTCCTTCTTCCATCCGCTTTTCCAGGTGAGTGTGACCCTTTCTCCATCGATGTTTAACTTTTGTGGCTCCTTATGTGTCCCAAAGCGTATACTGCTGCTAAGGTGACACTTAGTCGGCGGGTTCTCGTTCCAATTCCTCTGATTAACCGAGGAGTAGGACCACTGGACGCAGTATTTGCTGTTGTCGCAGGACTCTTGGCATGCCTCCGGCGACGCTTCTCCGTTCCCAGCGCGATCGGCGTCCTGATGTTCGCCGCCTTGGAAAAGGATATTCCATCGATTGTTCGAGGATTCGGAGGATAGGTTGTCCCAGTCATTGCGTGTGTAGTTCAAATCTTCCGGGGTCATGAAGCGATACCACAGATCTGCAAAGCGCAGGGTGGGCTGGTCCGAGGGTCGGTCCTTCTCCAATCTGAGCAGATCACTGCCGATGTCCGGTGATATGTGGTGCATCAATAAGATAGGCTCACACCATATGGCAGGCGAGAAAGGCACAGTGCTTGGGTCGAATCCAGAGATGCTGGGCCAGACTGTGGTGAAGGTGATTTTTACCTCGGCCTGCAGCGCGCTGGCGACGAGGTCGAAAGCTGTCGTGTGGTCCGCGATCTGCTCCCGCCAGTTCTGGATAAAGTCTTTGCGCTTCTTGAACAGCTCCAGCATGACTCCTCGCGAGAGGATGAACGACGTGCCTCCGGCGGCGAAGGGATCGGGGACGCGCGCCGTCGCTGGGGCAGGTGGGTTGCCAAAGAAGTGCTTCGCGTCTGGGTCGTGTTGGCTCAGCCAATCGAGTAGGTTCGGCCTGTTGACGTACGTCTCATCGCCGGCGAAGACATACCAGCTGCGGTCTGGCCTGTACTCCCACGCAGACGCCATTGTCTCCAGTATCTTGTACTTGTCCAGAATCTCCATCTCCCTCTTCTCTTCTTCTGGATCCTCCTTCTTCAACTTGGCCAGGGGTATGCTCCTCCGCGCATAGTCGACCTGAGCGCGGTATCGCTCCAGCTGCTTCGTCTTCTGTATGAAGTCGGATTTGTAACGCCAGATGACGTCGAAGACAGGCCATCTTCCGATCTGAGTCTGTAGGTCCGAAAACAGCAGGAGCGTGCCGTGGTCTTGTTCGTTGGTGTTGAGGATCAGAGGCGTGACTTTGTTGTAGACGTCGTTTGCGGTCGTGGTGACGGCGACGACAAGCTGGTCGTGGTCGACTTGGTGCGGGCCGAGGTTGGACTCTTGCTGCGGGCGCTTGCTCGGCGGCAGCTCTTCGTCGTCGTAGGTGCGCGGCCAGCCCTTGACCCAGAAGAAGGCATATATGAGGATGACGCTGAAGACGAGGCGGGCCGGGCGCGGCATGTGCTTCCGGTAGGACGACATGGTCGCTAGCGTTTGCTGTGTGGCATCTGTCGGATTAGTAGCTAAAGGAGAGTACAGAGATCAAGATCGAAGATGGCCACAACGTGTTTCACCCCATCGCAATGGCCCGATCCATGTTTGAGAAAAAGCGCGTTGCGAACGTCCGCCCGCATTCAGGGGAGCCTAGGCCCGACCGAGACGCGTGGAACAGGCCTGGTGTGGCGCGGCCTCGTATTGCTGAGGGACACGCGTCGCGGGGGCATCAGTGGAGCATGGCTTTGAGACCTACATTTACAGCATCGACAAGACATTCCCCTTCCAAGACGCGAACTACATAGTGCAACGGCGAGAGACGCCGCATGAGGCGTTCCTGCCCTCTTGGCGATGCATCGGAGGAACAGCTGGCAATCTCCGACGATCACCAGATCGCCGCTACGACTCCCTGCGTCTACCATCCCTCTCCTCGTCACATTCCATCAGCTCCGGTACTCAGTATAGCTTCTGCAGCCCGAACTGGCCATGATTCCGTGATCGCGATGCGTGTACGGTACGCTCACAGCGGCCGGCCGTATATCCGATAACACCGAAGCGAGCACCTTCCCCTCACCTGGACCTGTTCGGTGGTCTCTATAAAGTGAACGATGGAAGATCTTGTGGAGTCTTGAAGAAAACAAAGTCCCAAGCAGTGATGAATTCGAGACGCGATGCAACAGGTGGTGATCATATGGAAGGAACCGATGCTGACCTCGTAGCCACTCACCTCGATCAGGCAAACCATCAAGCAGATGTATACGTCCGCCTGCGTCAATACGATCTTTCAGGAAAAGTAAATGCCAAAGTGGTCAGAAAGTCACTCAATGGTGCGACCGCTTGACCGGTTGCTGTTTTCCGCGGCAGTCACACAGTATCTGCTTGCTGTGGAAGTGTCAGTGTTTACTTGACGATCCACTCCCATGTAGCAAACCGCGAGCCAATCTTCAAGGTGGTTATAAGCCCTCCAACCAGGCATTTCCAGGCATTTCTCTCGTGGGCCACACAGTTATACTAAAAGGGGGTTGAGTACTGGGTTATTCATTGACCTCCCTGCGATTTCACTACCTTGAACTATTGGCGGCCTTCGATCTAATATGGTGTGACACAGCGATTAGTTGCGCGTATTGCCCAATTGCAGATTGGAACATCGCGCCACGCAAGTAAGCATAGTTGTTAATGTCACGCTCTCCTTTATATAACAACCTCTCGAAACAATTCAACTAGATCTTCAACCCGGGCCATCTGTCAGTTTCTCGAGTCGACTCAAGATGTCAGACCAGAACCCGGAGTCGACAAACTGCCAAGGGGAGCGTCCAAAATGGCAGGAGGAAGGGTTCAGTTCCCATCAAGAATGGCAAGACTGGCGAAACGAATATCTGGCAACCGATAATGCCTACGATACCCAGGCGGAGGACCCATCCCCTGATGACAGCGATGAGGATGAGGGCTTCGACGAGGAGTTCGTTAGCGAGCAAGACTCAGACGAGGACGAGGACGAGGACAACGAGGAATCGGAAAGCGGTGAGCCTGGAAAACACGTCGAGCCCGAAGACGACAGCAGTCCCGATCATTCCGAGGCTGCAGACAACGGCGAGCCTGGAGTAGACGACACTTCAAATGTCGACGAAACTGTGCTTACTTCTATTTACGGCTTCGGTAAGTAATGATAAACTGTTGCCAGACGCCATCTAACGCAGTAGGTAGCGCACGATAAGAACAAAGACTATGCCCTCGTTGAGCAGTCAGCTCGTGGAGCCCTCAACGCTATCACCATAGCTCTTCAAGACATCATCAACAAGAGCCAGGCACGACAAGGTGAACCAGAGAGTCTTGCGAAAGAGATCGAGAGCGCCTTTGCCACGACTTTGCCTACGTATTTAAGCGTTCAGGCAGTGCTCCAAGGTGGACACCAAGTCAGTATCTTCTTAGCAATGGGTATAAGAGCATCCAGCTGACTGAATTCAAAGACTACCGGGCGGTCACCTCCTTTCAGCGCCATTTCTTCGCAGCGTAATCAACCTTTGATCGGAACGTCTGCCGCCGTGTCTGTTCCACCCTCTCCGTCTCCGCCGCCACCGTCAACGACCAGCGGTCTCGTATCCTCCGCCCCGCAAAGAAACGTACGTTGGCTTTTTCTTAATTTTATCAGCGCGGCGCTAACATTGTATAGGAAGTCGGCGCTTCCCAAGGAGACGAAGACGTCAACAGCGACAGTGAGGAGGAAGTGGAAGAGATTACACCACCACATCCCGACTAGAACGACTCAGGCCGATATAACTAGATGAGTACAGAATACATGTAAGAGATATGGCGATGGAAGCGCCAGGTGTGGCCTGCTGAAGACAGGTGTGCGTGATGAAGAAGTTCATATTTGGTCAAGCTTGAGCTTCAAAGATAGATCGAGGGTGCGATATGAATACACAATGTACGGGTGTCGCGGTTCCTTCGTAAGTGCATGGCTGTGAAAGAGTGTCTGCATGTAGGCCTAATTTGGACGAGCACCTTTCACCGGTGTTCACTTGGCTTTCTTATACATCGTTAAGTCTCTGGCGATCTCAGCACTCTGCATCCTCTTTAACCTCAACGCCGCCAGAACCTCTCAACATCACCATGACTCGTGCCACCGCGACTACTGATGCTGACATCAATGTCACAGGTCTAGGTCAAGGCCCCGTGGCCCTTCCAATCCGAGCGCCGCCTTCGTTCGCCATTTCGTCTTCGGTTTCGCCTGCTCAGGCAAATCCCATCAAACACTACGGCAGGGATGCGAAAACCTTCAAAGCCGCCGACCTCCGCTTCGATGACGGCTCGTTCAACAAGCCTGGCACAAAGGCCTACTACAAGAGCTTTGGGTTCCGCGAGAAGACCAAAAGCACCAGCGATCAGAAGATGGCCGGAGAGAGGAACGAGAAGCAGTCACTCGTCATGATCTTCAGCAGAAATGCTGTCAGGCGATCTGCCCTGACGGGCTCTGTCGCAAACAGAGCTTGGAAGCTGAGCAAGAGGCAGTAAGTGTGCTATTTTGATCCAACTGAATGAGTCTAATATCTCCATAGGAAGTTCATGCGCAAGGTCAACAACGACGAAAAGTTCTTCAAGTGGGATTGAGTACCTGCAAAAGAAACGGAGTAGGGCAAGAGACACTGGGTCCGACTTCCGCTCTGAGAACGAGGCATGACGTCATGAAAGACCTGAGAAGTGGCTATCGTGCGGCGAGTGTCGTTGTCTGTTCTTGCCCTGTCCTGCGACGATGGTCGAATATAAGAACCGTCACTGCTTTCATGCTCATATCCTAGTACTGCGCGTTTGTTTTGCAGTCACGTTCATCAAGAATCGCACGCGACCACACAGTAGTATCACTCATTTTCTAGACCCTATAAAGTCTTGTTGCCTAGCTGTGTGTCATTACCTCTGCCTACTAACACCCTTCTCTTTCTCTTCCACTCCTAGGATCGCTTTGCTATACTACATCCCTAATGCCTCCTAAAGCCTACAGCGTCCCACATGATTCAGGTGGTCGCCGTACTCCGCCAAATCCCCCACCGACCAGGAAAACCGGCCTCTCTATGAGCGACTTCCAGTATCAAGGTCCTCTGGAAGACGACCCTGTTACCACCATAGCCCGTGGGCTCCGCGAGAAACGACTGCGATTCACCAAAAAGATACCAAACGATCACGACAGCGATATCTGCTCACCAAGAGACCGCCGCAGTGCCCTTTCCGTATTCGACGAAGCCATCGAAAAGATCGGCGAAGGCAACCGCCTGGAAGTAACTACGGAGGCAGACTACAAGATCAGGGTGATCTTAGGAATCACCAAAGCGCAACCCTCTGCTTCTGTGTTCCAGAACAAGCAACAACTCTCGCCCATAGACCCCCAGTATGCAGAGCCACGCATCGAATGGCACGACGATCCATACAGCTATCACTCAACTTGGAGGTTGCAGCATTGGCGCAAAGACGGCTGGCCTGATTCGTTTCCTGAGAGGGCCATTCAAAAAGAACGAACTATGCAAGGGGAGCCGAGGTCTTGGAAAGATCAAGACTGGGCTGAGCCTGGAGGACTTAGTTGAGCATCGGCTATCGTGGCGGGAATGATCATGATTGAGAGTTACAAGCAGCGGGGGTAGCCATCCAGGACCTGAACTTGCTGGAGAATCATATAGGTAAACAGGCCCTATGTAATGGAACTGGATGAGAGTCTGACGTTGTGTTGAGATGCACTCGCAGACTCTCTTGAATCCTGATTCCGACAATGCCTTCACTTTCTAGTAAGCGTTAATGTGACTGAGCTTATACCGGACAGCTAACCTATCTTCTCAAGCTATTTCACACCCATTGTTGCCCTAGGGGTTAGCACTGTGCGGTCACAGAGTAGGTACGCATGTGAATGAATACCCATATCAATCGTCCTGAAAAGCCTAGAGTCCATGGTTTAATCTCTTGTTTCTCAATAAGAACGCACAACTACTAACCAAACATGCCCCGTCTAATAGAAGGTACTTCGCTATGGCGAGCGATAAAAGAAAGGGCAAATAATCAGACCGAACCAGGCCATCCGAATTCGACATCGGTAGTAGAGGTGGCTCCTGCTGAAGAACAGACCGCTCTACCCGAACGACAGGATGCCAATCCTTCAAGTACTCCTACAACCCATATCTCACAGCGTGTTACAAGATCCAAGAGCCACCATAGTGGAACTTCTGCATGGGTTCGCCGTACTACACGCAATGTGAACGAGGTTTCTACGGATCAAGTTCTTACCGAAGAGGAGCAGCTGGAAGCCGCCCTGGCCGAGTCTTTGGCACAAGCGTCCGCGAGACCCGCCCAGGAAGGCCCAGTAAAGCAGACACGGAAGAGGCCCTCAAAGTCCAGGGGTCTCCTGACTTCGCAGAAAGCGCAGGAAGCATTACCTCGACTCCATGGACAACACACTACTCTGAAGCTGCCAAGACTAAGAATTACAAACGACAGAATATTGGTTGTAAGGGAAGTAGACAGCCTAGCGCAATCGCTGGATACTGACGAACCATTGGATGCTTTCGATCTTGAGCAAGCTAAGGACCTCGAACGTCGACGGCAACTCCTATATTTAGCAAAGCTCGAACGGCAGGAAGGCTACATACCCCCTGTTCAAGGTGAGCAAGAAAGCGCCATGCGCAGCACGCTTGTTCACGATGTGGATAACGATGACTTCACTGCTGCATTCATCCTAAGGGAGATGGCAAACAGTGACATCACTGCTGATCCTGAGAGCATGGATTTTGTCCAGAGGCTCATGAATCCGTCCGCTTCTGGAAGGACTTTGGAGTCGACCCACTCGGCTAATAAAGAGAACACGCGCGAGGATCCACCCCTTCGTCGTTCGACACGAAATAAGACTTCCGCTGCTCCCGGAAGTAGAGATTTGTGCTCAAAGACCATCGAATCTGAGCAACCAGCACCTGAGCCCTTGAAACTGGATGAGGGCGAAGGTTTCATGCCATCCGCGGCGAACGAATTCAAGTTTAAGTACGACAGCCCTTCCGGACTTCAAGCTAAAGAACTTGACGCACTTCTGAAGCCTCCGAGTCGTCCTAAGGCCTTTCCGGCTGATATTGCTGGTGAGAAGACTTTCGGCCATAAGAGCTACAAAGGTTTTGGTAGTAGGCCGAAGGAGAATGCTGCAGATGATAGGGTCAGAGAAATGGAACTCGAACATGCGCGAACACAGCAAGACGTAGAGATGGCTATGGAGCAAGAGGATATGTGGAGCGAGTTTTATGGAGTTGATGAATGGGAGGAGTAGACCTTTCTCGAAGACGAGAAGATGCCCAAATCCTGCTAGGGAAATTATGTGTGCACATACCTTCTTGAACCTAGTAAGCAGTCACTCAATTCACGCACTGCAAATTAGGCGGCCATCCACTACAGATATTTTAGAATCAATTGCTTATTCACGTCGATTCTAGTGATCTGCCTAACTGTGGCGGGAATATAGCCCGTCGTAAGCCGAGACAGACTTTGTGATATAGTGGCTTGAACAGCCGTATTCTCTCCACTACTTTGACTCGGCTAGCCCTCAATGAACCATAGAACTCTTCCATTCAATCTACAAAGCTGGCGAGATGTCGGATAATCCACCAAATACTCCCACTGTCACGATCTCAAATCGCTGTCAGCAAAACACCGCTGCTACTACCAGGCCTCATCAAAGTTTGAGTCGCATGGGATGGGTTGATCACCGCATTGGTAGGCCTGATCGAACAGGCGAACGTCACACCGAGCAAGAGCAAGAGGCAGCGAGGACCATGCTAACCTTGAGACGACTGGTTTTGTTCTCTACAAAGGCTCGTGCAACAGACATCCCCCTCAATATGAGCGGGCCTGTTATAATCCATGACAGCGACGGTGAGCGGACGATCACTGCAGGACCGACCCCGGATACGACATCAGCGCCCCACGCTATACCATCTGCGAGTATGGCTATGAAGTCAGTGTCAGGCAGCGATGTCACTACGACGAATGTTCCCGCCAGTGAGGATGTAACCACTCCAGTGGTGCGGAAGATTACACTGGAGGAGTACCTTAGGTTGAGAAAAGCGAGGAAAGATGGGGAAGCACATGAGAATGCTTGACCTCGGACAGTGAGGTAAGTCCGGGTATGGTATAGGACTACGTAGTGTACTTATCATCTACACAGCTCGAGTATCCTGATCCTGAGGCCGACATGTAGTCGCCAACGCCATCCACCAGCGTACTATGCACCACCCTTGGCCAGAGCGGCTGCCTTACGCTCGCGCTTCTCACGACGGATGCGGGCCGTGCGACGAGTCTTCGTCTCCCCGGCGATTATCCTGCTTCTCCGAGGTGTTGCGGAAAGAGGCGCGGAGGGTGCAGGGGAGTTGGCGACGTAGTCGCTCGCCCACTTCGACAGCATCGGACCTGGCATGGTCGGAGGCAAGCCCTTGACGAGGATGGGGCTGCCGTTCGCCAATGCCCTGACCCTCTTGTCCATGAACCCGTTCAGGCGGTCGTACAGGCGGGATGCTGCGACCCCGGCCCACCACCACCCAACTGTGTTCACCGACAGCTCGTGCTGCAGGTCCCACATGTCCTGGTTCAGACCGCGGAACAGCAGGTCGAAGTCGCTTCGGTCCTTCTCGGTGGACTCGCCTGGAACTTGATGTTAGTATGCGGACAAGACAAACGTCGAATACTTAGAGAATGCGCACCGTACAACACCGCGAAGGTGGCCTCGATCTCGTTCTGGGCCAGAAACGACTGCCCTCCGCTGAGGCGGAACTGCTCGTGAAGTTGGGATGCTAGATCCATCATGTTGATATTGGATCGGCGAGACGAGTATCTGGAGGAGAGTATCGGATCAGTATGTGAGCCACAAAAATTTCAAGAAATTTTGAGGCAGGCGTGAGGTTGTTGTGGAGGTCGCTTGACGACGCGCAAGTCGCAAAGGCAGAGTTCTCTCTCTTCACCTGGGCACGTCCCCATGGTAACCGCCAGTTTCGTTTGCATTCTGTGCTGCTCGGTCTGAGCTCGTCGCTACATCTTTCCGTTATCTGTTCTTCTATCAGTGCCATGCACAATACAATGTCATGCTGCTAGTTGATTGCGACATTCAGGCACGCTACGTGCTGAACTTTGATGAGCTCATTGTTCACTGTATGTGCGGTTTTGACAACCTTGGAAGTCTTGCAAGTAGCAAACATGTTGACCTTACCCTCATACATAACCTTGTTTCTCCTTAGATCAACAATCTTCATAACCTTATTGAAGAGGTGTAAGATCTACACAAGCTTGCTCAGATGGCGGCCTTCACCCAACCTACTCCACCGATTGACTTTAGACGAGATATAGAAGCTTTCAATCTTTACCACGAAAAATGCACTACCAAACCTATCAAAGAGACCGTTGCGCACCTCCTCTACGCTCTGGAAAATACAGAACCCATCGTAGACCGCACCAGTACTGTTTACACAACATTCCGTAATGCGATGGTGGTCTGGAAGACAAGGATCGATAAAAAGCACGACGCCGACGCGAATCGATGGTACTTTCACAGGATAAGGAGACAGTTCAGGGCAGTAGAACACGTGCTCTACGGTACTACCAGCGACTTGGATAGTGACGGTGGAGGCGATACGAACGACGAGAATTCCGAAGATGAGGACCAAGACGATGAGAGCCCTGAAGATGCCGGATCTGAAGTGGACTCAGAAAAAGACGATTCTGATGTAGCCCAGTCTGCAAGTTCGACTGACACCCACACAGACATTTCAACGCGCATCGACGAAGCGAGGGATAACACTGTGGCTGAGAAAGCCCCAGACATGCCTTCACCCAAGACCAAAACGAAGCCGTCTGCACGAACCACGCGTTTCAGCCAACGGCTCAAAGATCTCGACGCTCTCAGAGCACGAGAAGAAGAGAACATGCATCACAGCGCAAGGCGAGGGAAAGGCAAAGAGTTCAAAGGAAGACCTGTAGACCCAGAGAAAGCGCATCTAGACATCGGTGAAAGAGAGCTAGCTGGTCATGACGACGTCATCGTAATCACCGAGCGGGAGAGTAATGTACGAGTCGGGACCGAGCAGAATACGGAAGAAGATGAAAGTGACGTGTGAAATAGTAGAGTGAAGAGGATGGTGAGGGTCATGCCATGTCCGGAAAAAATGACATGAGCAAACAAAGGACAATGAAAAAGGTGAAAATAAGGGACGATGAAGTTCAAGGTTGAGATGGCGGGTGGCGTGTGCTTGATGAGCTTAGTGTGGCGCGGCGAATCGAAATTCCGTGGCGTCAAGACCTGAGTTCCGCCACCAACCTTGGAATGCTTATTGCAACCATCGCGCTACCTACATTAGTTTTCATCATGCTGGTTCTTTTATTACGATCAGATTGATGCGCGTTTTCTGAAAAGCGTGATAAAAAAAGTAATGGACATCAACATTAAGCAATCGGCATAATCGTGGACGCGAAACTTGTTTAGATTCACCGAAGCAACAATAGCTTCAGGCGCGTACGCTATGTAGCGAAGACTGATGGACAGCGACAGACTATTGACAAGACACGGCCTAAGCAGTGCGCTCGATGGTAGTGGTCTCCATCTTGCCGTGCTCGGTAACCGTTCCGTCGTCGTGGCCGTGGTTGACGGTCTTCTCGACAGCTCTGACAGCCTCGTCGGCAAACTCCTTGTCTTCGAACACTGCGAAAAAGTTAGTGGTAGCTCTATAAAAGTCGTCCTCGTCATGTACTTACAGAAAGCAAGCTCCTCGAGCGTGCGGTTGTACGTTTCAGGGTACATAAGGTAGACGAAGCAGAACTCGAATGTGATCCATCCGCAGTAAATGGCAAAGTACTTCCACTGAATCGCGTCAAGAGCGATAGGGTTGACGTAGACGGAGAAGAATCCGGCGAGCTTGCCGAACATTTGCTCGACACCGATACCCATGGTACGCTGGGCGTAGGGGAAGAGTTCGACGAGGTAAGTGTATGTGAGCGAGTTGTTACCGATGTTGTAGCAGGGCGAGTATGCAAAGAAGAAGACGAGCGAGGCGATTTGCGCAGCCTGGTTTTTGGTGCCGTTGGCATCGGCGACTTGGAGACGCTGGAAAGCGATGGTCATGGCCATGAAGACCATAGTCATGGATCCAGCGGAAAGCATGAACATCCAGCGACGGCGGAATCGAGTGACGACGAGAGCGATAGTGACACCGTTGATCAAACTCCAGCATTGGTTGGCGATGTTGATGCGCGTCTTGGCGTACTTGGTGGTGTATCCCATCATCTTGAATAGAAGATTTTGGTAGTACGAGATCAAAGTGTTTCCGCTCATCTGGGTGAAGAGACCGAGGAAGCAAGAGATGAAGACACGGCGTCGCATACCAGGTGTACGAACCATGTCCATCCACGAGCGGCTTGAGTTCTCCATCTCGAGTTTGATTGTGGATCGGATCTGGGCCATCTCGGCTTGTACGAGGATGGAGTTGGCGTCTCCTTCGGCATGGTATTTGGTCAAAACGGCGAAAGCTTCATCGTCGCGATCACGACTGACAAGCCAACGTGGGCTCTCGGGTAGCAGGCTAATAAAGTCAGTGCGGAACTCTAAACTCGTTCGAAGAAACGTACAAAACAGTGCAAATCTGGAGGATGGACGGGCAGATCTGCAGCAGAGATGGTGCTCGCCAGCCCCAGTTTCCAACCATCTCCGTTGTCTTGATTGAGATGGCAGCGGCAAGGATGGATCCGATGAAGTAAGATGCGTTGAAGAGCGAGGTCATGAATGGGCGTTCCTTGGGATAAGCCAACTCTCCGATCAGGGAAGAACCGGAGACGATGGCGAAGAGGATACCGAAACCAAGCAGCATACGTGCGATGATGTACATCCCAACTGATGATACGTCAGATACGCCTTTGTTCATGTGGATGGGGTGTGTACGTACTGTGCTGAGCAAAACCTTGCAACAAAGCGCCGATGACCATAATGACGGAACCAACGAAGATAGACATGCGTCTACCGTACTTTTGGCTCAACCAGGGTGCGACCGGAACTGCAAGAATGGAACCGAGCTGGTAGCATGAGGACATGAAACCGATGATTTTGGGTTCGATGCTGGCTTCGCCATCTGAGTCCTTGTAGCCTTCTCCGAAATCTGAGACTGTCAGCCTTGTGGATCTAAAGCTGCAACAGTTTTGACTTACATGTGTTAAATGGAACGGAAAACTGAAGTGTGCCGATGAGCTGAGAGTCGAAACCAGAGGTAATCTCAACACCCATGCAGCAGCAGAAGAGCCAGATGTACATGATGCGCAGATTCGGTTTCTTCCACCATCGCACCTTGTCCTGCTCCACCATGCGGGTGATGATGGGGTCGGAAGTACCATCCTGAGCTTTGAGGAGACCCATGATGCCGGTGTTGGATGCGCTGGAGGCTGCTGGTGCTCGAGCACATTGGGGTTTACCCTTTATAATACGGCGTGGCCCAAGGGCGGTCCACTACCCCGGCTCTTTACCCCAGATGCTCCGTAGCCTACCTAGGCTAAGGCGGAGAACACGACCGTAATACCGAACCTGCATCTTATATTGGGTAAGCGTCGCGGCGCGTTAGCTGCATACCTTGGCAGCCGGTTAAATTGGGCTTGTTCCTCCAATTATCGGGTGTTAATCATCCCGAACAAAGCTCAGAAGAGCCCGAACGAACGCCTTGCTGCTTGCAAGTGCATTTTTCGAGCCTGTGTTTAACCTGTTGGCTGGTACGTGACCTGCTCTCGTGTTGCACTTCGAAGTTGCAGTGGCACTTTTAGCGAGGCAGCGCCTACTCGTGCTCTTCCGACGGCACGGACAGGAAATGTTGACCCGACACCGTGGATCTTGTCCTATGGCGAATTAACGGTCAATCTCGCAAGGCACGAACGGATTTGGGGTCCAACTACAAAATTGATGAGACGTGTGATGATTTGCTTGTCAGATCCCGCCCTGGAGAGGACAGTAGTATTGTCAGGACTTGAGGATTCTGTCCAGTTCAATGATACAAGCATCCAGCATCGGCTCATGATCATCCAGAGGCGCACGCACTAAGCGCGAATATCAGGAGGATTAAGCGGTAGCGATGGCTTGAACGCGGCAAATGCTCGTGTCGTAGCTACCGAAGCGACAGGCGGGGGTTGATGCACGAGTATCACGCCCTGGGACAGCGTCGGGGCGTCAGCATGGCAATCAAATTCGTATAGAGCCCACAACCAACTAGACCAAGCCCGTAGCTTGATGTTTTTGAAGCAATACGTCCGTGTGTGGGTACTTCATCGACGGGAAGCGCGTGGGATTGCTCCAAACATGCACGCGAGACAGATAGAGTGAGTGGGCCAGCCACCGAGTCCTTCCCGGGCGAGGTTAGCCCCAATGCATGGTAATCCTGATTCCTGGTGGGTGCTTCATCAATGTCCAACAACACTCAGGAAGAGTCGGATGTACCGCATCCCAGCCAAGCGGTACTTAAGGTAAGAGATCTCCACAAGGCATTCCCTCTTGTTGCTGAGTATGGACGGCATCCACGGTACGCGCTTCGACTGTCGGTCAGACTTCCCGGAAACTTGGCGGGTGGTAGTCGTAAATGCGGCATTGGCCAAGGGCCTACGACCAGCGCTGGCTTCGTTGCTGATTCGCATGGATGCGTGGAGGAGGAAATGATGACTCGCGTCGGGTAGCGCACCGCTTGTTTGTAGCCGACGCATTTTTGGGAGAGACAGCGAAAAAGGAAAACGGCTTAAGTGAGATGAGAGGCGAATATCTGGAGTTGACAAAGTTCTGCAGCAAGCGTCGATTGCTCCAAGCAGGGTCGACGATCTCCAGGTTGGTGGCCGGCGGCGTCGCTAAAGGTGGGGCGCTGTCTGTCGCGGTTGCCGCAGGCCCGTCGTGGCAATCATCACCAAAACTGTAGCTGACATCGGCAACTAGTAGATCAAAGTCAAGAATCTCATTATTCGGGACGCTTTAAGAGCATGTATCATAAACGTGGTATCGGGGGTTCGGACGCACCGCACATAACACGAACGCCACGCTGGACATTACATTCTAGCCGCGTGTACAAGAGTAAGATTAGGAAAGATATGGGTATCATGAGTTATAAGACCAAGAGCTGGTCTGGACCGTATCGCGCGACAGAGAATCGTCGTTCAGACGCCGGCCATGTTCGGCGCAGGAGCGGTGTCATTCCTGGGGGAGCTGCGGATGTGCAGCGCCGCAAGCACGGTCGAAGCAACAAAGGCAACCCTGTGGTATGTCAGTACACAGTCGCGGGTGAGAATTGAGGATCCATACCAGTTGAAAGCAGAGAAGACGATCGCAGCGACTCCGCAGCTGTAGAAGGTGCCTTGGCGGCCAGCCCACCAGTTGTTACCCCATCGAGTGGCCACTGCAACGAAAGCGGCGAACCAGAAGATCATGGTAATGAACTCAACTCCGCCAATGGCAAACTTGTGGGCTGCAGCGGGGAAGCGAGCTGGTGCTAGGACGAGATATGCGACAGCCAGGAGGGTCCAGATGGAAGTGAAGAGCATGAAGGCGACGCTCGCCGGCACCCAGGTGACGTAGGCATCAACAACTGAAGATATGTTAGTAACGCTACGGCATCGCGCGGTCTGTGTGCAACATACTGTAGGCTGTAAGACCCAGCACGATGATGCTGAAGACGACTTGTACGCCGCGCAGGCCTAGGACAAGAGCGGGTGCGACCATTTTGATAGTAGATAGGCGCTACGGCTACGCGATGGATGGCTGCAGGGGCTACGGAGCGGGTAGGCAGATTGTGGCTGCAGATATCTTCGCTACCGAAAGTCGATGGTATTTGTTGTTTGCAGCAGTTGGGTGTAGAGAGGCTCGATGAGGCCTGCAACACAGCGGCGGCCTGGTTCTTTATGCCTCCGCACAGGCTGGCAGGCGATGATGCTGCCACGACCTTGTCCCTTCTTGATTTCCCTGAAACCGACGTCACTCGCAGTGGCGCATGATCAGGGAGCCACATGTCGCGTCCATGATTGGTCAGTCGCCGCGATCCCAGCTCTTAGTGCCGCTGGCGATGCGACGTGTTGCACAACCTTCTCGCATCTTCTCCTCTTTGTCCTGGCC